ATAAAGACCCATTTTCTCAATGAGTAAACTGAGGCCCAGAGACACTAGGTGATTTGACTGGAATCATATCAGGCTTCCCCATGCCCGCCCATTGCCCTAGACTGTAGTTTGCCTGCTCCTCCCACGTAGGCACCCAGACTGCCTTTCCGGGCTCTTCCCCATCCTCTGTCTGGGCCCAAAGGCCCCACCATTTTGCTGCCACTGGGGATCAACCCCAGAGTTCCAGCAGTTCAGGGCAAGGCCTGGCTAGTCTCGGCCTGACTGTGGCTGAGCACACCAGGAAGGCTACAGGGATGGGCTCCATAGAGGAGAGGGGGGGTTGGATGGGGCATAGGGGGTGCACAGCTGTTCTTTCCTGTGATTCAACAAGATGCAACAGGTCAATTTGAGGTCCTGAAACTCAGGTTCCTGAACTGAGCATGAACAGATGCAGTCTTAGAGACGCCTGGCCTGGGGGCTTGAGCCCAGGCGCAATTGCAGACTCGCTAGGGGACCTTGGGTAAGGAGCTTAGCTCCGCCAAGCCTCAGCTTCTGCATCTGAAGAATGGGCTTGAGAATACCCACCGCACAGGGAGGATGAAAGGGGAGCTGGCTTGGGAAGGCATTCCTTAAATCACAAAGCTCTGATGGAGGGTAAGGGAGGGGATCTTAGAGCCCTGCAGGTCTGGGTGGCCTAGTTGGGAGGCTGGGGGAGGTGCCAGATGAGGCCCAGACCAGGCACAGGTTTTTCTGGTTAGAATGTGTGCAAGGGGGTGGTGGTGGGGGAGTGGAAAAGGGGCTTATGAAGGTAGGTGGGGCCTCTGTTAGAAGCTGCGTGATCCCAAAGGAGCTGCTGAGTCAGCCTCCTCCTCTCTATACCTTCTTTTCCTCTTTCAACAAAAGTCTTGACTGCTTTTTTCTGCTTACAAAAGCAGCACATGCTCATTGCCCAGAATCCACACCACACAGAGGTATCCGGTGCAGAAGTCGGCTGCTTCTCTGGTTCCTGCTCCCAAGATGGAACTGCTGTAGAAATCTTGCTGTACGTTCTTCCAGATGTTTTCTTTTGATGAATGGATGCATATATTTTTTAAAAGATTTATTTATTTATACAAGAACTGGGATACAGATCAGAGGCACAGGAGGGTGAGAGAATTCACCAGAGACAGAGCCGGGGGCAGCCCAGGCAGACGGACCAAAGACACTGCTGAGGGGTGCAGCGGGTGAGGCAGGAGGGGTCTGCCACGCCATGTGGGTTTTTCTCCCTGGCCGGCCAGGAATCAAACCCACGCTGCAGAGGCTGCGGACAGCTTCACAGCACGGTGCTCAACCCGCTGTGCCACCAGGGAGGCCTGGATGCATATTTTTAAGTTAAAGAAGACTGTTCCTTGAAGACCATTCACAGCAATGTAGAACTGCATTAAGTCGCTCCCTCCCACTACCCTCTTAAGTACCCACGCCCTCAGCTTTGTAGGCATCTCCTTGAACTTTTTATATGCGTTGGCAGCCACAGTGGGCATAATGAGGAGGAGACAGGATGCTACAGACACCAAGGCCAGGACCGCCTGGAGACAAGTGCCAGTCAAACAATTACTGGCTGGGTAACTGTGGGCAAGTTACTTAACCTCTCTGAGTCTGCTTTTTTTTCTCGGTAAGATGAGAATAATGATAGTGCGGACTTCAAAGTGTCCTTGAGAGGATTAAATGAAGTAAAGTATGCAGAGCTCAGCATAACGCCTCGGTGAGGATTAGCTATCATTTCATACACACTGAAAGAGCCGACCCCCCGCAGAAACAGGGTCACGCCGTGCCAGCAGTCTCGTTTGGTTTAGAGGCAGAGTCAGATGGGAAGATTAGTCATTGAAATCCTGAAATTTCCATCAGAGATGAGAAGTTCTGCCTGCATTTAGATTCAGAGTTGGTTGTCTGCTTGTAGGGTGGGCGAAGCCTACATTTCCAAGCTGAATCACAACCCCTCTGTGAAAGGCTGCGTTAATAGAGGCTGAGCTTTCAAACGAGGGAGGTGCTTCTCTAGCCTGCGCCTGCCCTCCGCCTGGGGCTCTTATTCCTGTAAAGGCTTTCGCTGCCTTCCCGCCACTCACCAAAAGTACATCCAGCTTTCCATACCAGCCCTTTGACTTCCAAATGTCTAAAACTTCCCCTGCCCATGTCTAATTCTCCCTCCTTCAGGCCCCCATGTCCTCAGTGTGCCCTAAATCTGCTCATTTGCTTGAACCAGACCCAGGGAGGTGGGGGTGTTATTTTCTGACCACTCCCCTCAGATTCTTCTGCTTTTACCCAGAACCCAGCCCCCCAGGCCCTTCTCTCCAACTGACTCCATCCCGAGACCCCACAGTCCAACCAGACCAAGCAAGGACAAATTTTTTGAAATTTAATTTGGTCTTTTGAAATAGGTATTGCAATAGGTTGAAAGATGGCCTTCCCCCCACTCAAACATGCACTCACCATAGTTCTTGCAATCTGTGACTATGAACTTACTTGGAAAAAGGGTCTTTGCAGATGTGACTGAGGGTCTTGAGGTGAGGACATCCTGATTTTCCAGGTGGGGCATAAGTTCAAAGGCGAGGGTCCTTACAAGGGATGCACCGGGGCTGGATTTGACAGACAGAAGGGGACGCAATGGGGGCAGGAACAATAACGCCACCACCAGGAGCAAGAGGCAAGAAACAGAGAGACGCTCTTTTAGGGCCTTCAGAGGCTTCTGGAACTGGGAGAGAATATGTCCCTATTGTTTTAGGCCACGCAGTGTGTGGTCAGTTGCTATGGCAGCCACGATAACAGACATGGTCGAAATGTCAAGATGACATAAGATGTAAATACTACAAGGTCTTGCTCTTCTAGGTAGCTATTTTTATTAGGTTCTTTTGTACTTTTCCAGGGTTAAAGGATATATAAATATTAAAGGGGATATATATATATTTATAAGAAAATATAAACTATAATATAAAAGAAAGCATAAAACATTCGGACTCCCCTGTCTGTTTTTTTTTAAAGATTTATTTATTTATTCATACAAGAGCTGGGGTGTAGGCCAGAGGGGTGGGGGTGGGGGGAGTGAGAGGATTCACCAGAGAGAGAGTGGAGAGTAAAACAGTGGATCTACTGAAATACACTGCTGAGGGGAGTAGCCGGCGAGACAGAAGAGACCTGCTGTGCCATGTGGGTCAGCTCCCTAGCCAGGCATCGAACTCACGCTGCGGTGACTGCAGATAGCTTGATAGTGCTGGGACTTAACCCCTTGTGCCACCAGGGAGGCCCTCTCCTGTCCTTTTTAAGGACCATCTTTTGATGTGTATCTGGCTGGTCACTCTGCCCACAGGCCTCCCTAGGTCTGACCCCGGTGCCTCCCCGACCCCATCTCACACTCCTCACCTCCATTCCAGACTGCACTTTGCAATGCAAAATCCTACACTGCTGTGTTATGGAGAATAGAAATAATCCTAAAAAATCCTTCCCATCAAGGAAGGTTGTCCTTCCAGGATATGCCACAAGAGGGCAGCCTCCTCTCCCTTCCTTTGTCCCCTCAGTCTTTGTCCCTGGAGGGACCTGGTCACAGTCAGTAAAAGTAGGATAGACCCGCACTGCTGGAAAAGCCTGGGCATCTTCCAGGGGATCTGTCACTGAAATTGTCACCAGGACTGCCAATTCCTTCTCCCCATGTGGTGAGACATTTAGAGATGAGTTTGCAACTGTAACTACTTAAGGGCTGTGTTAAGGAATGGTCAGGAGGCTGAAATTCTGAGGATCTCCTATCTGAGTGTGGTGGAATTTATCCTCACACCGAGTTCTCTGCTTGTCTTGTTTGCTGCTGTGCTGGCAGCACCAGGCATATGGAGGCACTGGCGAAGATGTGGAGCTGTATTAGGTGAATAGAGAGGGCACACCTTTCATTGGCTATTTGCTGCCCACCCCTCCCCTTGGCACCCCTCAACCCCCCTGAAATCCCAAACCACAGTATGGAACCCTGAGGAGTCAGGATGCCCCGAATTAGCTGCCAATGTGTTCCCTGAGGGGGTGGAGAGGGAATTCCAGAAGGAAATGTGGCAAGGCCAAGGGCTGTGAGCTTCGAGAAGGCCCTATTTTGCCCATGTCTGTGGGAATTATCACGTAAGAGGTTGTCAGGTTTTTTTTTTTTTTTTTTCCCTCCTCAAAATGTGGCAGAGCTTGGAGAATTGTACCAAAAGTGGGGTAATTGTGTGTAGAACATCCCCTCATGGAATTATGCTAAATGAAATAAGTCAGAAGGAGAAAGGCACATACCGTGTCACTGATATGGAGACTACAGAGAAGCAAAACAAAGGTTCAGACAAACCCAAACCAAAACCCAAACCCTAGAAATCTAACTGCAGAACAGAGGCGGCCATGCCACTGAGAGAGAGAGTGGAGAGCAGGGTGGGAGGGGGCCCAAAGGCCTATGGCAGAGGACTGGGGTGCCTTGGTGGTGGTGTGGTGCAGTAACACACATGGGAAGAGGTGTGAACCTGGGCATCTGAATCATATACAGCGCTGTAAACCAATGCCACCTCAATACAAGTAAAACACAATGTCCTTGTGTTCGCCGTAATGCCTCTGGTACAGCTGAATTCAGAGCTCACCGTGAACCTATTAACTCCTGTTAATAGGTGGGCACCCACCTCAGACTCCAGACTGTCTTTCCTGTCTGACAAGGTCAGTCACACCCTTGAGATTGAAGGAGCCAGGCTGCTGTGGTGAGACCTCTTGGCTCCATTCTAATGGATTTAACCTCATGGGGCTCACCCACAATCCTGCTCCCCGCTGCCCCTACTACCTGTGCCATGACTGCTTCCTGGGACTTGATTGCCCCTGTGTGGGTCCTGATTGGTATCTATGAAACTGCCATAGGAGCCTGAACTTGGAATCAATTCTGGCTCTACCTTTTGCTGTCTGAGTGACCTTGGCCTTTGGAAATGCCCGGAGGTGAAGTTGAAGGCCTCATGTGGGGCGGGGGGGGGGGGGGGGGTAGAGGTGGAGGGGTTTGGGGGTGGGGAAGGGGAGTAGGATTACCTCAGTTGGGCTGTGTTATGGGCTGAATTGTTTCCCTGAATTCACACTGAAGTCCTAAGCTTTGGCCACCTCAGATTTTGACTATATTTGGGGGAAGGTCTTTACAAGAGGTAAGTAAGGTAAAATGAGGTCATTAGGGTGGACCTTCCATCAATGGGACTGTGTCCTCATAAAAAGGGAGATTAGGACACAGGCTCACATGGAGTGAAGGCACAGGGAGAAGATGGCCATCCACAAGTCAGATAGAGGCCTCAAAAGAACCCAGCCCTGCTGACACCTTGATCTTGGCCTTCCAGCCTCCAGGACTACGAGAAAATACATTGTTTTAGTTGCTCCATCTGTGGTACTTTGTCAGGCAGCCCTAGTGAAAGGATTCAGGCTCAGGGGCCTCCTCGGCGGTGCAGTGCAGTGCCGTGAAGCTGTCCGCAGCCTCTGCAGCGCCGGGTTGCTTCCCGGCTGGCCAGGGAGATTCCCACATGGTGCAGCAGACCTTTCCTGTCTGACCTGCCTGCTGCTCCCCTCAGCAGTGTACTTCCGTCAGTCTGCCTGTTCTGCTCCCTGCTCTGTCTCTGGTGAATCCTCTCACCCTCCTGCACCTCTGGCCTGTACCCCAGTGCTTGCATAAATAAATACATCTTTTTTTTTTTAAAAAGAAAGGATTCAGGCTCAGGCTCTTTCCCTGCTTTCTCTTCCTCTCCACTCTCCCCACGTTCCCAGGAAGAGACAGGACACAAGTCAAGGAAGGATCCAGCACTTTATTATAGTCACAGCACACAGGGGCACAGGGGGAATCACTGAGGCTTGTTATACCTGCTCCTCAGGGAAGCCACAGGGAGTAAGTCCCCTCTGCTAGGCGAAGCCAAAAGGGAGGAAGGGGGCGAGGGCAGGTTCCCCAATGTGATGGTTGAAAGCATAAACACAGACTTGATTTTGGTCCCAGCTTCACAACTTCTTAGCTGTGTGCCCTTAGGCAAGTCTCTGAACCTCTCTGAACCTTGGCTCTCTCATCTGGTAACTGCAGTGAATGACAGAACCTACCTCACTGGGCGGCTGTGAGGATTAAATGAGGCAGTGTCTATGAAAGTGTTTAGCACAGTGCCTGGCAAGTCGAAAACAGCCACTGATGGGGAGCTATTATTGTATTACTATCACTATTAGCAAATCCAATTTCTCCATGGTCAGGCCAGCTCTGGTTTCCATATTTGATTTCAAGCGTCATAAATATTTTCAAGGTAGCCTTTGGAAGACCATCAGAAACATGTGCGGGCACGACCTTGTGTCTGGGATTTTGGGTTCAGGCACCGACTGTCTACATCTCCATGAAAGCTCTGAGAAGGTGTTGCAAAAAGCTCCAGTTTTGTACCTGGACCACTTCAAACTTCAGCAATAGCCAGTTCTCACATCTTAGGATTCTTCAGAAAGAGTCTTGTTTTTATGTTTTTAGTTTTGGCCTTTGACTAAGAAACTGCCATAGGAGCCTGACCTTGGAATCAATTCTGGCTCTACCTTTTGATGCCCGAGTGACCTTGGGCTGGTCACTTCACCTGCCCAAGCCTCAAACCAACCTGGCTGACCTTTTGGAAGCTTTGAGGATGAAACCAGACTGTGAAAGACTGTCAACTATGGAGGCACCATCGCTAGCAGGTGAGAAAAGGGCTGAAGTGGGCACAGACTCAAATGGAATCAGCGGGGTGTGTGTGTGTGTGTGTGTGTGTGTGTGTGCATATGTGCGCATGACAGCTCAAGTGCCTGAAAGGGGGTGGGGGTCAAAGCAGGTGGTGCCACCAGAGGGCGCTCTGAACTTTTAAATCCTCTCCCCCTTAAAAAAACATTTCATTTTCTGTGGCTGCATTCCAAATCCGACTAAGATTCATGGCTTTCAGTTTACCTAACTGATTTAATAAACTTTTAAATAAATTCCTGAGGTTTCTTAGTTTATCAATAACAGCGTGGACATGATGTTGTGGCCCCTGCCACACAGCAGACTGGAACTTGGGGTAAGGGCAGGATGGAGACAGGAAGAAACTCATGGGTACTGTGTCCTGGTGAAACCACTGCTCAGCCGAGAGCCTGGACAAATCCCAAGAGTACAATGGTGACGTTCCCACATCCAGCCGCACGGGGACATTACGAAATGGACAAGATGGAAAGAAAAGCAACTTAAAGGTCAAGAACACAATCTGCAGCCCTCTTACCTCCTGTGCGCAGTCTTCCGCTTGACCCTCACCCGTGCTAGAGCTGAGGCCACACGGGGACAGCTCTGGGATGGGGGAGGTGCGTCCAGCTGTTAAACCATGACCTCAAGAACAGTATTTCCAGGAATCCCCATCTTAGCATCTAAGGGATTCCTGGGAAAACTGGACCGTGAGGACAAGGTGAGAGTGTGGCCTTCAGCACCAAGGCCTGCCATGGCCCTAAGAGCCAGCTGGGGCCTGCATCCAGGCCCCTATGTGGACGTCAGCATGGGATGTGGCTAATTGCTCCTGGAGGAGTGGCTGGAACTTCAAGTGCCCTGGAAAGTACCTTCTCCGTAATCAAAAGTCATGATGTTGATCAGAAACTATCTGGCCTCCCGGACCCCCTCCCCAGGACAGTCATGGTCGGCTGGATTCCTGAGTCCCCAGCCAAAGGGAGGATTTTCCTCTAAACCATCTGGATAGATAGATCTGGTTCCCAGTCTCTGTTTGGCAACTTCCTTGCTGGCGACCTCCACCAAGTCACTTAACCTTCAAAATGGGACCATATGTGACCTACTGGATAAGGTGAGAGAGACACAACTTGAAGGGTGCGAGGGGTGAGGCAGTAAGTGCTCAGGAGGAGGAAAGTCCATAGGATTAAAGGAAAGTGTCTGGGCCTGTCTTGGCTAAAAGCGACCCAAGATGTAAGGACAAGACCAGAGAAGGATTTATTATATTTTCCTCCTGCTCCCTAGCCCCAGTTTCCAAAATCAGGTGCAGTGGGTAAGAACACGGATTGGCAGCAGACAGATTAGGTTACTATGCCATGTCAATGCCATCAATGTGTGTCCTTGGGTGACTTGATTATCTGAGCCTCTTTCCCATCTGTAAAATGGGTCAATAAGAGTGGCCACCTCCCAAGCTTGGTGGCAGGTAAATTACGTGGTTCTTAGCCCTATGTTCCTCCTCTGCTGCTCCTTGCCTATCTGACGCCTCTGAGGGGCCAGATATTTGTGAGATGCCTGGATGAATTTACCAAGGTTAGGAGCCCAAAGAGCAAGAGCCCTACTCAAAACCCAGGACTTCTGGGCCTCCCTGGTGGTGCAGGCGGTTGAGTGCAATGCTGTGAAGCTGTCCGCAGCCTCTGCAGTGCAGGTTCAATCCCGGCTGGCCTCGGAGCTACCCACATGGCGCGGCAGACCTCTCCTGTCACGCCCGCTGCTCCCCTCAGCAGTGTATTTCAGTCTGCCTGTTCTGCTTCCCGCTCTGTCTCTGGTGAATCCTCTCACCCTCCCGCGCCTCTGGCCTGTACCCCGGTTCTTGTATGCATGAATAAACAAATCTTTAAAAAAAAACAAAGCCCAGGACTTTTGTCCTTAGGGTTGAGAGGGATTTTAGGAATTGTCCTATCCACACACCACGACCATGAACGGTGGCTATCCAGGACTTAGTGTTGAGAAGGATTCTGAAGCTGCATCTGAACACTTTACGCCTAGAATTACTGTGCCCGCCATGGGCTCAGAAGGAGAAAGCAGAGGCAGGGTGCCTGGTGGCAGGGGTAGGACTCAAGTCTGGGAACTTGCTTAGAAGTAGCAGCTGATGGTCTGGAGACTGGAAACACCCCGTCCTTCCTGGTGCCCTCAAGCACCACGGCTGCTTCCCGCTTCCAGGCTGCCTGCGGCCGCAGAATGTCTTCTCCCTTCCTGAGCTACAGTGCTTCATCTCAGACTCCCAGCTGACCAGAGATGCAGCACTGCACCTCAGGCTGGGAGACAGGGCGCCGCGCTCCGGCCGGCCACGCAGGGACGCCACCCTAGGCAGAGAAGGGTGTTAGAGGGGCTCCCCTCCAGCTCAGAGACCCCTGCAACTACCCCGCCGTGCTTCCCATCCTTGGGGCCAGCCAAACCTCAACTTTCCCTTTTTTTTTTTTTTAAAAAAAACAACCCAGCTTACTGTGACAGCGCGCAGCCATTTGAAGTGTGTAGTAGAATGGCTTCGAGTCCAGTGAGAAGCCTCAGTCCATTTTAGAACATTTCATCTTTTCAAAAAGAAACTGCCCACCCTTCAACCTCTCCCGGTCCCCCAACAGCCCCAGCCCTGGGCTTAGACCACTTTCTGTCTCTAGAAAGTTGCCTAATCTAGACTTTTCAATAGATGGAATCATCTTCTGGGGTCACCCCATGCCCCATCTTTATGCTTGGTGCGCACCCGCCAAACAGCACTTTCAGGGGACCTGATATTTTATATCATTGAACATTTGCCTTGGCCCCCTCCTGGTCTCCTTAGTCACACCCACTAACCCCCTCTTTGCCCCCTTCTCCCAGAGTGACTTTTCAGAATGCAAGTATGATCATATGTCTTTTCTGCTTAAAATTCAAAAGGGCTCTACTGCCCTCTGGTTGATTTCTGGAACCCTCACTAAAGGCTGCTCAGCCTGGCCCATCTGGCACCAGCCATTTCTTCCCGGCAGTCACCCCCTGTTCTTCCACCCTTCTGGGGAGTCCCTATGCCTGTCACCTCAGGTCTTTCCAGGTGCCATGCTGCTCCCTCACCTTACACCCCTTCTGCCTCCTCTTCATAGGCTTAGTTGCTACTCGAATAAACACCACCTCTGGAAAGCCCTCCTAGATTTCCTCAGACAGCTTGGTCCTCATGGATCCTGTGCCCTCTTGCTAATCCCTTCCCACGCTGAGGATATAGTTTTTGTTGATGACCACCCTCACTTGTCAGCAACTCACTTCCCCCCTGAGGAAAAAAACCCCATACTCACCACTGAAATGAGGGCCAGGTGGTGCAGACACCCAATAATCAGCAGCTGAAATGACAGCATCGCTCCTCGCCTTACTCTCTCTGGTGTTGGAGCTATTTGCATCAGGGCTGACTGGACTAGATCTCTGGTTCCCAAGGACAGCGCCTACACCTTAATTTTTTTTGGGGGGAGGGCAGAGATCCAGGGTCTTGCTGAGACCCTGGCTGCTGGCTTCTGCACATGAGGTTGGCCACTGGTGGATGAACAAAGGGCCACGGAGATCATGCCTTCCTTCCTGAAACCTGGCTTGGGTGGGCACCTCTGGTGGGCAAGCAGAGTCCTCCTCCACTCCTCTTGCTCCCCCTGGATCTCAGGGAAGCCTCAGGGGACCCTCTTTCTTTGCTGGATGCTCACTGTGGTGGCCTCCCTTTCAAGGGGGCCTGAGGGTGAAGAGGGGTGGGCAGCTATTCCTCAGGGCAGGAGGAGAGCAGGGAAAACACACACATCCTGAGAAATCAAGTGTCCCCCAGCAGAAACCGGAAATCAGCCCAATCTGAATTGTGGGAACAGTGGGGGGAGGTTTCCACTGGTCTGCTCATTGGGTCAAATCAGTCTCTACGGCCTCTGAGGGGAGTGCCCCCTTCCTGAGGGATCCCCAACCAATAATTGCCTCCCTCCGCCCAGGCGTGCTTGCAGGAACTCTTCACGCTGCACTTGGCAGGAGAGAGATTGCAGCATCAGGACCACTTGAGGGTCCCGGGACAGCCTGCCAGCTGCCTACTCCCTTTGGACGGCTCCCTCACCACTGCACCCCCGCCACCAACATGTGGGAGGAACAGTTGCCTAACCACTGCGAAGCCAGAGAGGGTGGTCCTGAAAAAGTGATGCTTGCTGTAAGGCCGCGCCTGCCCCGGTGGCTGTCCGCGAAGCCCCTCATCGCTCCGCCTTCGGCTTCCGAGGAGCGAGCAGAGAGTTAGCACCAAGGGACATGGAGGACAGCCTGTCAGTTTGCTTTTGGCCCCTCTGGTTCCTCGGGGAAAACCCCCCACCCAGCATGGAGGGGTCCTGACTCTGACACCCCACGCTGGACCAGCGTCGAGAGGAATGACGTTACCTTTTCCTTCTCATTATGGACAGTGTCAATTTTTCACTGACAGTCGCTATTTATATTGCAGCATTACAAACAGCGTCTTAAATGTCTAAGTAGCGTGACTGCTTGAAGACAGGGCAAACAAATAAAAAGGGGGTAGCTGGGTAACTGTAGCTGGGGAAAATGTACCCAATGAAACTTCAGAGCAGTTGGTGCAGGCACTTCCACCACGAGGAGTGGTGCCCCTCCAGGGCAGGCAGTGCTGGCGCCCTTCTCTTCCACTGCACCACGGGAAGGGAGGGGATGTCCCAGGGCCCCAGTCTGGCTCCAGCCAGGGGAGCTGAGGCCAGTTTCCAATATATCTGGGCTTAAAATACTGCTGCCAAGGTGTAGAAACTGGAAGCGATGGGAGGCAGGCCCTTCCTGTGGGAGCGGCTGACCCAGGAAGGGGGCTGAGTTGAGGCCTTCGGCTAGGGGATGGCATTTGCTCCATCCCCCCCCCCCCCCGTGCCTAGTTCTGTTCCTTTGTATCTAGAAAAATCAGCAGGATGCTGAAAGTACTAAGGAGGGTCATTTATCGAGTGCTTTAACTGTGCCTGCCCCTGCATCCCTGAAGCGTTCTGTGAGAAGGGGATCTTCCAAGCATAGAGTTAGGAGCCAAGATGGAATTCCTGACTCAGAACAAGCGACTACGACCATCATTTTAACCTTTTTTGCTACAGGTCCATCCCCTGCCGAATCTACCAGTCCTTTCTGTTTGGGACAGGGTCTAATTCCATCTGTCCACTCAGCAAAGCCAGCACATTGAGGGTAGACAGAACTGACCGTGATAGGGCCCTTGCCCTGGGAAGACAGTCAGCTGAGGAGGAAGGAAATACTTCCAGCAAGGTGAATAGGGGGCAGACCGAAGTGGCACAAGAGCAAACCAACAAGAGGGGCCTCCCTGGTGGCACAGGTGGTTGAGCACAGCACTGTGAAGCTGTATGCAGCCTCTGCAGCGCGGGTTCGATCCTGGCCAGCCGGAGAGAATCCCACATGGCGCAGACCTCTCCTGTCTGGCCTGCTGCTCTCCTCAGCAGTGTATTTCCGTTAGTCTGTCTGTTCTGTTCCCTGCTCTGTCTCTGGTGAATCCTCTCACCCTCCCACACATCTGGCCTATACCCCAGTTCTTATAGAAATAAATAAACTTAAAAAAAAAAAAGCCAAGGGCATAGATTAAGAGATCCTGTTTCCAGAGCTGGGTGGGCTTCCTGGAGGAGGAGGTTGCACAGCTGAGAGGAGGGGCAGAGGTACAGGAGGGGTGACCTTCTGGCTCTCTGGCCAGGGGAATACTTTCTATGGTCTGGTGTTCTCACAGGGCAGGCCCTGACTCCTGGTCTTTTGAAACTGAGGGACTCCGTAAGAATGGGATTGGGAGCCCTTCTCACCCTCTTACCACATAAGAAGCTCCTTTCCTCTGGGTTCCCAGTCAGAAGATGGGGGTCACTTAGGAGACCCAGGTCCTGTCACCAACTGATGCGGCCCCTCTCTCTGTGGCTCCCTACCTCCTGTCACAGGAGGCTGTGGAGGGTGGCCTGGGATTCTTACCTGGCAGGTCAGCCTGGGGAATGGCCAGTCAGCCTGGGGGAAGCCTCTGGAGGGAACTCGCAGCGCCTGGGAACCTCTGCCTTCTGCCAGGAAGCACTGAGAAGCTAGGCAGGAGAAAATAAACAGTGTCTGTCTGGGTTTTCTCCCCAGGCCTGAGCAAGGAGGCCTCCCTGGCTCCTTCCCTTATATGGCCAGGCTGCTCTCGGCTGGGAGCCGCCACCTGCTGGCTCCCCACCCTCTGCCACAGAGAACTGGGGGCCACTGCTCAGTTACCTGGGACTCTGGCGCTGCCGAGTCTGGGGCAGGGCTGAAGGTGGTGGGACCTAGGACCTGGCCCAGCACTGCCTGCACCACCTGCTGGCTTCTGGGCTGTTTGGGTGTGGCAGGTAGGAGGGCTTATATTAGGAGGAAGGGTGGGTCGGGGAGGAGGAACACTCCAAGATAGGGGGTCCACCCAGCCTTGACTTACTCCCCAACTCACAATGTGACCTTGGTCAGGCCTTTTCTCTCTTTGGGCCTGTCGAATGAGAGTATGTATGGACAGTAAAATTAGTCCTCACAGACAGGGCTATGAGGTGGGGGCTTTTGTGTCCTCATTTTGCAGAAGGGAAAACAGGCTGGAAAAGCTAAGTAATTCTACTGAAGCTCTCCAGCTTTCCAAGGATCAAGACAGGATTGAACTCCCTTTGGCAGCTGGGGTCGAAGGGTTGATTGCTAAGGCCTCTTTTGGTGTTACCATTTGACAGTACTTATGTTGAATGCTGGAGGCCCAGGGAAGCCCAGAGAGGCCCAGAATGGCCCAGAGTTCCCCAGGGCCCATGACTCGGCCCACAGGAGACTCGTGCTAAGCAATGGGGGCAGTGGCTATGACCCACACAGGCCCTGGTAGACTCAGGAAAGGAACATCATGAAATGAGCCTCAGTAGTGACATATGTGCTATGGGTACAATCTCCACATGCCAGGCAGGATGAGGATGAAACAAGATAGTGGATGAGAGAGCACTGAGGTGCTGCCGTCAACGTACCACTGTCTTTTTGCTCACAAGCTCTTTGTCTCAAAAGTGCTACCTGCATCTCATCCCCAGGCCTTTGTCTCCCGAGTTGACTAGTCCCTGCTTCCCCCAGCTGTGGAACAGCAATCAGGGGTGGATAGGCAGGGGCCTGGGCCCCAGGCTCTGGCGACAGTGACCGTGGGAGAGCCTGCAGGAGGGGAGGACCGGAGGGGAGGCGGGGAGGGTTGCTGGGAACAGTTCGGAATTGAGCCTCGCACAAGCATGAACATCCTGTGGCTCTTGAGCTGCCCTGGAACCCCCCTCAGCCCATCCATCATCGTGGCATGCTCTCAGACCCGGGCCCTCTTCCTGGGGCCGGGGTGGAGTGTGGGAGCCGTGACGGCTGTCAGCGTAGCCGAGAGACCACAGCTGGCAGCCCTGCGCAGTGTCAGGGCCGGAGAGTGGGGGGAGGAGGTGTCTGCTGCCCCCTTAATTCAATTTGCTCAGGCCTGGCTCGTTTGTTAGCGAGTGAGGCTGACTGCGTGTGCCGTGCTGGGGTGCACGTTTGCACACACGTGTGGGGCAAGCCGAGGTGAACAGGTGTGCCGTGTTACGTAAGCCAAGCCTGGGCCCTGTCCCACGTCCCCGGGTGTCAGTTCCGTGCTGGAGCCTGCCTGCTCTCCTTTCACCCCTGCTCACCTCCAAATCCTCCACTTTTTCCGTTCTTTTAGGTTCTGAGGCCAGAACCTCCCCGACAACAGCGGTGCGGCCTCTGAGTACATTCCCGTTCCTCCCCGGGCCTCATTTTCTCCTCCTGTCTTGTGGAGCGTGGTAAAAACAACCCCGATAGTTTCTTGAGCTTCACCATGGGCCAAGCACTTGGCCCCAGGGACTCGCGCCTGACCCTCGAACCCTTCCAAAGCCCCGTGAGCTGGTTCTGTTGTCAGCGGTTTCCCGCAGACCCAGGTCGACCTGTGCCCAGAGTCCTTTCCTCCCAAAGTCTCCTTCTTCCCAGGGAGGGCTGCTGTCACCCTCCACACCAAGTCCTTTATGTTCTGCGGTGCTCGGGCTTTGCGTGACTAGTCTGCAGGGCGCACACGGTGGGGGGAGTTCTGGGCTCCTGGCTGGTTTCCCCTTTTCTGGGTTGTTTTGGGCATCGGGGTGGGAGTTGATCCTGAGGGACCAGCTGACTGCAGGAGCCGCTGCCACTGGGGTGGGGTGGGCTGCAGACCGGGGAGGCACTCACTGTTCTGCTCCAGGCCCCGGTGCCGGTGCCAGCCCCGCTGGTCCTCAGGGGGCCTCTCCCTGCGGTGCTTGTTCCTCCACGTCAGGATCCTAGTGGTGGCTCACACTGGCCGGTGCCCTTACCTGAAAGGAACAAAATGCCACCTGTTAGTTGGGTACCGGAGTGCCCCAGAAGGATACTGGGGCATCCTGTGGCCAGACCCTGGTCTTTCGGGGTCCTGGCCAGGCTGGGAGGTGCCGAGGGATTGGGGGCCTGAGCTGCTGCTGCGTCCTCAGAAACTACATCCCCAGTGTGGGAAGGGGCCAGCAAGGGGGCACAGCATGCATGAGGGTGGCACGGGGATGACTTCTAAGGGACTCAAGCGCCAAGAGCACACCCGCCCTGCTCAGCGAAAGAATGGGTCTGGAAGGAAACTTCCCTCTGACCTGTGGCCCCCGCCTTCAGCCTCACTGATTGGCAAGAAGCCATTTGGGGGTTGATTGAAACGTGCAGTTAACATGTAGGCCACGGAGGGGAGAGCCCTGGGACCACCTGGGACCCATTTCCCAGCACAAGGGAAAATGCCTCCTATGGTGGCAGGAACATTCGAGACCGCTGCCAGCGAGAGAAGAACTCTTCCTGCCTGCTCACTCCCTTCAAGAGGCTGCAGTGTGCCAGGCTCCCTGCCAGCTGTCAGAGCCCAGCTTGCACCCTGGGCTGCCCAGGCTCAGTGCAGTCTGCTGAGCTGAGCAGCGGCCAGCCGGAGGAGCACAAAGCAAAGCACACGTCGTCACGGTCATTGCAAAAGCCACGGTGCCCTCTCCCGGCCTTGTTAGTACCAAGAAACAGGAGAGGCTGGGGATGGGCCACATCTGTGAGCCAGATGGCACCGCGTGGGAGAGGGGGCTGGGGTTGGCGCGCCAGGCAAGCACACACGCCCGTGGCCCTCCCTTCCTTTTGCAGGGGCTTCCTTGCCCGCGGCACGCCTTCCTCCGAGCTCTGTCATGAGCGGCAGGACAGCCTGGCTCCCCTCGGGCTCTGGCCCCAGGGTTTCCACCCGTTTGGAAAGAATAAAGAAGACCCAGGCTCTGGAGCCAAGCAGACCTGCGTTTGGATGCCATGCCTCGCTCTTCAGCTGCGCATCCAGGGCTGGCCACGCCCTGCTCCCCACCTGGGCTTGTTTGTCCAGGTCCAACGCGGTAGACATCAAGGGCAGGGATAGCATCCGGCGCATAGTATGCCCGGCACACAGTATGCCCGGCACATAGCATGCCTGGTGCGAATGGCGGCAATTTCCATCATGACGTCAGGCTGGCCCCACAGTGAGGCGCAGGCCCGGGGGGTGGAGGAGAGGCAGCAAGGATGAGGGCAAAGGTCTGACGAGGAGATGTGGACGCAGGAGGTGCCGCCATCATGCGGGCCCGTCCTGTCTCCTCCGTTGCTCGGCTTTTCTGGGCTGCGGTTCCCAGAGCGCCCTCCCACCCCCACGGACACCCGCTGAGTTCACCAGCCTCACACGCTCCTGACTTCCTCCCCAGGGAAGGTCCTGCGAGGGACTTTTGAGCAAGCCCTGGGAACGCTGCTGGAGGGTGAAACAAGAGTGAGGCAAGAAAAAAGGGAAGAAGGGAAAGGAAGGGCCCAGGACTAGAATCTAAGTCCTTCCCGGAGCCGCTGCAGCTCTGAGATGACGGCGGTGGCGCCCCATCTCCCTGGCCGTCCAGGGCGGACAACACCGGGACAACAGTGACAGCAATGACAGCCACCACCTGTCAGCTGGCCGTGTCCCGGGCTCTCGGGGACACGCTGGGGTCGTAACAATGGCTGACACACTGGCACCGTCCACGGTGCTCCCCACACTGGCTGGAAGTTTATTCGCGTAGATTTTTCTCACCTGATGCTCGTAATCACGTAGGAGGTAGGTACCACTCGCATCCCCATTTAACAGATGAGGAGCCCGAAGCCCCAGAGGTGACCGCACTCTCTCTCAAGGTTGCACAGCCCATAAGTACCAAGACCAGGATTGGCTCTGACAGCCTGAGATGCATCCTCACACCCCCCCCAGCCCCCTAAGACCGGGCTACTATTTGTGGTGTCATTTTTACAGGGCTACAATCTGAGTCAATATCTCCTGGCATTTTGTCAGCATGTGGTAGTTTTCTGGAAAGGGGGTTGTGAACACAGAAAGCATTTTCAGTATAAGTGGAAGCTACGTGGACTACATGGGACCACTAGTTTCCAAAAACAAGGGGGACTCCCATTTCAGTTGTTGCTACTTTTTCCCCACGGTATTTCTCCCTAGCACACTGGTGTGTTGTTTTTTTGTTTTTTTTTAAGCCATAATAAAGGAATTGGTCTCCCTATGTCCTGTTGCAAAGTACAACACACTTTGCAAAGAAATGGGGCTTCCAGGGCTCCAGGGGCTTTGCTGGCCTGACAACGCTTTCTGGATAATACAGATGTTGAGTTTCTTCGGGACTGTGTTGGAAGGACGAGCAGCAGGCCATGCACCAGCTCCCCTGTAGACATGCTGTGTGTGACTGCGGGCAAGTCCTTCCCTCTCTGGCCTCCTCAACAAGTGACCACTGCCTGGTAGCCAGCATCCTCCCGGGGTCATCCTCCCAGAATGGGCTCAACCCCAGTGTGAGGGTCAATGTGAAGAAAGGCCAGTGGTGCGTGTCGATCCCTGGAGCCAGAGAGATGGGGCACGGAGCTGAACCCTCCAACCCCCAGCATCCCATTGTCCTTGCCCTAAACCACTCGCTACTGCTCAGCCCTGAGCAGGCCCTGGGGCCCTGGTGGATGTTCTCCAGCAGGACTTGAGGTCTCAGAAACTGAGGCCTGGGGAGGAGAAGCCAGAGCCCAGAGTAATCTGTCAGCTAGAGGCCCAGCTGGGACTGATCCCTTCTATTCACTGTGGAAGCCTAATCAGTCAGATCTTAACAAAGGGCCCCGAGGAAGGAGGGAGAGAGGAGGGCCTTCACGTTCCTTTGACTTTGAAGATGGAATAATCATGACTTCCTTTCCCAAATATCTTTTGGCCCTTCTTAGGACCAGATGGCGGATGTTTGGAGTTCATGCTGTAAACAGTGTTTAGGAAGGGAGTGGGGGTGCAGATGTGTAACTTTCTCCAGCCACCAAAAAACAAGAGCAGGGAGAGGGGCTGGGGGAGGGGAGCAGACCATGAGCAGATTTGGGGCGAAGGGAGAAGTGAGGGGGACGGATGAAGCAAGCAGATGGAGCAGGAGCGGAGAGGGGAGCAACAGGAAGAGAGACTGACGGAGGGAGAGTGGGCGAGACAGAAGGAGGCAGAGAGAGAAACTGGGAGCAGCATCCAGTCTATCCAAGCTTTGCTTTTCAAGTCTGGAGAGCCCCAGAGAGGCAAAGAGCTGGGAGGGCCCATAGATCACCTAGGGAGGGAATCTGAGACCAGAGAGGCGGGGGAGGAGAGGCGGTGGGAGAGGGAGTGGGAAGGGGCTCCCTGGGTGCAGGCTCAGACAAGCTCCATCTTGAGCTTAGGAGCAAACCCTTGAGTTTTCTAAAAATAGCTCAGTCTTTCCCCCAATGGGGCTGGCAGCAGGGACCTCGAGAGTCGTGCTTGCCCTTTTATGGTAAGAAAAATCCAGATCGGTCGAGGGGGAGCTGGGCCAGAGCCTGCAGTTCTGGATGAAGCCCGGCCCTGGGTCTGGGGGCGGGTGTGTGTGCCTTAGTGGGAGTTCCTGGCCCGGGGAACACCCTCCCCCCCCCCCGCACCCCCCCCCCCACTGAGGAGCCGGCTGAGGTGGGTGTCAGCAGGGGCCACACTGGAAATCCCTGAGGGCCTGTAGAGCCCCAGTGTTGGGGTAGAAGGGCTCCCAGAGACATCTGGTGTCCCCTCTCTCCCTGCTTTCTAGAAGAAGAAACTGAGTTCCAGAGTCGGGAAGAGTTTCTAGGTTTCCCACATGGGTTGAAGTATCCACAGCAAATCAGTGTCCTGCCCACATGGCTCACATGCCCGTTTTCCTGGAGGGCAGTGTGCTTAGTGGAGAGAGTACGGTCTGACAGTTAGGAGACCCCAGGCCGTTCTGGTTTGTACACATCTTACTGTGTGACCTTGAACAACCTGCTGAGCCTCTCTGGTCTCAGATTCCCTCCCTAGGTGATCTATGGGCCCTCCCAGCTCTTTGCCTCTCTGGGGCTCTCCAGACTTGAAAAGCAAAGCTTGGATAGACTGGATGCTGCTCCCAGCAGAGGGGAGGATATAGACTTCTGTTTTCCTCCAGAAGCAGCTCAGATGGACAGAGGGAGAGAGGCCCCATGGGAGAGTGGATCATGGAGGGAATCTTTTTTTCCCCCTTTTTTAAAGATTAATTCTATTTATTTATGCATACAAGAACTAAAGGTGTGGGGGGTGAAAGGACCCACCAGAGACAGAGTGGGGAGCAGAACAGGCAGACTGACTGAAATACACTGCTGAGGGAGCAACAGGCAAGACAGGAGAGGTCTGCTGGGCCATGTGGGTAGCAACCTGGCCGGGGATTGAACTTGGGCCCACAGTGGCTGAGGAAAGCTTCACAGTGCTGAGACCTAACCCCTTGTGCCAGCAGGGAGGCCCATGGATGGGATCTTTGATTGCACACTGAGGAGAGAGAGGACCTTTTTCTCAAGGTCATATGAAGGCTTGGGGCAGAGCAAGGAATGGAAACAAGGGCTTCCCCACCCAGCCTCACACTTTTCTCAGCAAGAGGCCTCCCCTCTGCAGGCAGCTCTGGGTGCCAGCTCTGCCCAGAAAAAAGGCCTTCCCAGGCAAAGCAGCCAAAACTCAAGACAGGGCCTCAATCTGACTGCCTCTTGGAGATAGCCACGTCTTGACTGGCTATCACCCCCTTCCTCTGTCCCCTACCCTGGGCAGCAAGGAACAGTCCCCATCTTTGGCTGGAAAGCAGGGAAGAGGCACAAAGGTTGTGCAGGGTTGGGTGCTGCTGCAGCGTGATCTTGGGCTGCCCACCTCGGGCTCTGCGTCTGTGACACGAGGAGAGAGGCAGGCCTGGCGCTTTCGAATGTCCTCCTCAGCTCTAGCAGGACTGTGAGGCTGAGTCATTGGATTAGGACTCCATGTCAGGAATATTTATTCAGCATTTAGCAGGGTCATCAGGGTGAAGTAGGT